CTAGCTTTCAAATAAAAAAGAATCATTAAAATAGGTCCACCTAAAAAAACGTTCTGGGGCAACACACATTAATAAAAACCACAGTTAAATTGAGAACCTCCTTCTTTTATTAAAGTCTGTTGTAAAATGGAGATAATGAAGACTAAAGCACAGAATAAATAATAGTCCTACTCGTAGATTATAATATTATTATAGTATATAGTGATCTATAAGTACTACGCATGGAGGTTCTAACCTCTATGGTACTACGTAACTAAAGTGCGCTTTCCCACGCGATGTTATCGTCAAAATCATAGATAATATGCTATGGTTCATAAAAGATAGCTTGATCTCTGCGACAGCTGTCAGTAAAAATCACGCCTATCAAGTCCTGAATTTCTTAGTAGTACAGACAGTACCTGTCGATGTCATACTTTATAGACATGCACTAATTAGGTCGGTATGCCCATAAAGTATGACATTGACAGGTACTGTCTGTACTACTAAGAAATTCAGGACTTCATAGGCGTGATTTTTACTGACAGCTGTCGCAGAGATCAAGCTATCTTTTATGAACTATATATAGGCGTAGACAGAGAAACCTATAGCTAATTGATGCCTTCTTTCGCATTCACACACGAAAAAGATAGATTTATGCATACGTCTTGCATAGAAATGAAACAGAGCAGTGTGATTGCTTGTCCCTTTCTCTGGGCCGGTTTTTTTTGTTTAGCAAACTACACTTTGCTAAACAACTTTGACAGTTCGTAGCGACCTAAGAAGTTTACAAGGTGGTTTAAGTGAGAAAAAAAGTGTTTTGTGAGTGTTGAGTGATTGGTGAATATTGTTCAGTTCAGCTCTTAGAACAATTAAATTTTTTATCTAAATATGTTTAAAAGTCATAAAGATTATTGTATAACCTAAAACTACGTTATCGTCCTTTCTCACTCGAGGCCACGCTAATCATTAGTCTATAGGTTTCTTTGTCTACGTATATAGGGCAGTCAAAATTTTTGGTTATAAAAAGATACTCTATGGTCAAAATGCGGCTGACCGGACAAACCAATGTGACGTCATCCCTCGCGTCGCGCCGCGCTCTATAAGTTTCAGTTTACAGCGGCTCTACACGTTGGTCAACATAGTGGCGAATGTTGTGACCAATAGTAATGGCCATCGTGTAGAGTGGTTGTTTGTGCTTACCTTGGTATGTATTGGAATGATTGCCCACCAAAATTGGCGCGAGATCCGTGTGGTGTCGATTTTTTTACAAAAAGTCAAAAGAGTGTGGCTCAGTTTGGTCGCCGCGTCCACACGTTAGGCGCGCGTTTAGTTTTCTACGAGCTTTCAGAGTGATTGCACGCACCTGATTTAAATTTTATATTCACGCTTCGTAACTAGTGTCTACAAAACGGCAATAACAATGACCAATGAAGAAACTTTTCACTTTATAGAGGTCTACCGAGCTGAAAATTGTTTGTGGAACCCAAGAATTAAAAATCACAAAAACACAAAAATAAAAATTCTAATAAATTGAATTAAGATAATAATATATAATAAATTAAAATAATTTCTTATACACATTTACGTAGTAGCGGTATGCTGTGAATAAATAAACCGCAGCAGCTGTTAGCCCTTCAATAGCCTTTCAACATGTGGACGCCATCACAAACTCTTGGCCAATATCTTCGCCGTAACATTCACCACTATGTTAGCCAACGTGTAGAGCCGTCATTATACATAGGTACTCTGTGCTTACTATTTCGCTCGCAATTTCGAGCGGATTCCCTCACAAATTATAATTGATAAAAATAAAAAAGTTGTGTATAATTTAGAGGTTCACTCACCGTTGTGTTTATTATTTTTGATTTAAATTGTCATTTAAGTATTGTGTCATCCCCGAGTGTTATAATACGACCAAAAACCACCAAATTATTTTTTATGATTCCATACTAGCCAAATATTAATCACCAAAAAAATTATCGCATTCTGGTGTGAGGATCATTTTGATGTTATAGAATTTTATATTAATGTATTTAAAAATCATAGTCAAATACATTAATATAAAATCAAAGTTTCGTAAAAAGTAAATAAAAAAATTAGTTTTATTTCAATGTATATTTTGTAGTATCTGCTTATGGCCAGTATTCGGAGCTAAGACTGATAACTGGTCTATGCGGCAGTCTGGTTGGAAGCTTCTTCCTAATGACGGCAGTAACTTATGCACGGTGAGATGGATAAGACTTCTATTTCGGGCAACTAAAGAAAGACAGACTGACAAAATAGATGGAAATTTGTTTATTTCTATCAGAGGTGTACTCCACAACCTGCGTCCAGAACAACGATAGGTGGATGGGTGCGCTCTGTATTAAAGGATGCTGGTATAGATGCCCCTCCTGGTTCTTGCCGATCTGCAGTAGCATCCTTAGCCTGACTTGAAAACAGACCAATTGAAAAATTTTTAGAGAGGCAATTGGACAGCTGCTCAGACAGTAATGAATCATTATTGCCGAGAGATAAATGCACAGGAACGCGATAAGACAAAATATACTTTAGACAATTTTAAGCCTATTTAAAACAATTACGATTTGATAATACTAGTGATTTCGATTAATCGTGATTAATTATTAAAAATTCATAATAAATTCTTGAGTGGAGTTATATAGGTACAATTTATGTTAAACAATTTAAATTAAAACTTATTTTATCTTACATTTTACATATTATTGCAAGTACTCGGATGACCGAGCTTTGCTCGGTTTTTTTAAGTTACATTTAGATACAAATTACATGAATAATATTTTTTGATCTTATTGACATAATAGAAAAAACTGAACTGGTTATTTGAATAAAAAATCATGAGCGCGATTAGTTTAATTAAAATTTTCGTATTTTTAAAAAATACTAAAAAAAGGGCTCGAAATAATAGAATTTCTCGCAAAAGAAGGGAACTTGAAAAAAAAGGAAAAAAAGTAAGACCCAAGACGGGACGCGAACCAAGGCATTACGATTTCACGACCGCTTGATATCCACTTGAGCTATTACGATCATTAACAAAGTGTCAATATTTACCTTCTTATACTGTAGCAGTTTTTCATTGCCTGAAAACACGGACAAATAGACATTTTCTAAACGTTTTACAAAACAATAAATCGATTATTATGTGCCGAAAGAAAACACAGCATCGCAGGAATGCTCCTCCTGGTGAAGACGACAATGACACTAACAGGCACAAAACACTAATATAACAGGGTGATCCCCTGAGAAACCTATATACTATTGATGTATGATATGATTAGCATGGCTTCGAGTGACAAAGGAGGATAACGTAGTTTTAGGTTATACAATAATGATTTTTATCTAAATATGTTTATGACTTTTAAACATATTTAGATAAAAATTTTAATTTAAAAAATTGTTCTAAGAACTGAACTGAACAAGATTCACCAATCTTAAGCTCACAAAACACTTTTTTTCTCACTTAAACCAACTGTAAACTCCTTAGATCGCTACGAACTGCCAAAGTTGTTTAGCAAAGTGTAGTCTGCTAAACAAAAAAAAACTGGCACGGAGAAAGGGACAAACAGTCACACCGCTCTGTCTCATTTCTATGCAAGACATATGCATAAATCTATCTTTTTCGTGTATGAATGCGAAAGAAGGCGTCAATATGTCTATAGGTTTCTCTGTCTAAGGCACACTGCTTCTTCATAAGCGATGCTGTGTTTTCTTTCGGCGCGTAATTATCAATTTATTGTTGTGTAAAACGTTAATATTTCTGCTCTATTTTTACAGCTGAATGTTATGAAATATCCTTAGCTGTATTGTACATACAAAACATAGCCAACTCACAGTTTCTAATTGTAACTGATTCAAAAAGTGTTATATTAGCCATTGAAACTAACAAAATGTATTACAAGAAAAATTATATTATATACAATATAATAAACTTACTAAACAATCTTAATAAAGTAAAGAAGACTGTTACCGTTATGTGAGTTCCTTCACACTCTGGGATAACTGGGAAAGAGGAAGCAAACATTGCTACTAGAGATGTATCCTTATCATCGTGTTCAGATCACTCCTCAATTCTGGAAATACCATTTGCAGATATATATATGCCTTATTAAGTAAGAATTTGAAATCCTTTTGGAAGTCATACTGGGAAGAAATAGGTACGTCCAAAGGAATTTGGTAAAAAAGCCCGCCAGCCACTCCTTGGTACAACAAAAAAATGATTAATAATAGAAAATTTATTACGACTGTAAACCGAATAAGATTTGGATATAGCAGGGTAGCTGCCCACCTACATCGTTTGTGAATGAAAGAAAATGCAACTTGTGAATATTGTGATGACATGAATGGAGACCTAAAACATTTGGTTTTTTAAAGGTTGTCAATTTGGTTTGAATAGATTACTCCTTATTAATTTCATTCAAGATATTAACAATGATAAAGTTTCTGATACTGTTCAAAGTCTATCAGCTGATGAAAAATTCTTCCGACTATTATATTCTTTTATTTCTGGTGTTCAAGATATATAAAAATGAAAACGCGATATTAATCACTAGTGAACAAGCCTTTGTGTTGGGATTTGTGAATCAGTGAGAAAGTGAATTTTTGATGAATGTTTCGTACGTGACGTACCTAATTTTTAAAGATAATTAATAATTACACACTGTAACTTCAGGTCAACTACTTAAATTAGGTTAGGTTCCCCGGTTAAAACTAACATCGTGTCCTGGAGGAAAATAGCTACTTACGATTTGACAGCGCTTACCGCTTACGATCGCCATTTTGCTTACAAGCGCTTGCTAGCGCTTTTTTCTGCCAAACGCACCCATTGTTTGTAGTTTGTACTTTGTATTATTTTATTATAATTATTTATATTTAATAATTACGTATTTTAAGTACCTAATTAATAAAAGATGTCTGCAAAACCTAGGTTTTCACGTGGTTCAATTTGTGCTGCATATGGTTGCAACAATTATAAACAACAAAAAGACCCAAAATCATTCTTTAGAATGCCCAAAGATTTGGAGAGGTTAGTAATTGTATGTGATTTTGTTAAACAAATGTGATAGTAGACTTGTGATATTTCGTTTGTTGTACTTATTAATAAATTTCCTTTTAGATTGAAACAATGGATTGAGGCTTGTAAAAGAACTGACCTGGAAAATTTGATGAAAATTAAGGATAGTGATTATTTTTACAACAATTATGTGGTTTGTTCAGATCATTTTGATGTAGAATGTTTTCGAAATAAAGATTTATATAGCCAGGGGTAAGTAGTCAATATTTATGTAATGAATGTTTCTTTCCATACTAATATGTGCAGATGTACCAATAAAAAGTAATCATTTTTTAGGTTAATGCCAGGTTCAGTACCAACCCTGAAGTTGTATAATAAGAAAAATACAATGAAGAGAATATGTCCACGTGAAATAAACTTAGACTGTCCAATAAGGTATAAATGTCTGTCTTATATACCTAAATTTTAACATGTCCATTATTTTTTGTAAGGAACTATTTAGTATGTGTGTTTTTGTTGCAGTTCTAAACAGATCAAATTGAACTCGGCAGATCCAATAATGGAGACCCAAGAGCAACATGAAAACATAATACCTAATGTTGCAAATTTGCAGAGAGAAATAGTAAATTTACATGTTGTTATAGACAATTATAAGAAAAAACTAAATAATACTACTAGTTTATTATCAAAATATAAGAAAAAATGTAAAAGTTTAATGGAATTTGTAGCTGTGTGTAAAAATAAGCAATCAAAGGTAATTTTATCATGGTCCCCTCATTTTTAGCTCTAGAAAAATCGAAAAATCATCTGATTTCGAAGAATGTTTTGTATAATCTTCGTTTTTTGTGGCAGGTTTATGAAAAAAATATGGAAAATATCTCACCTGAAGATTTCATATAGTTTTATGACAAAATGTGATCATAAACACACTTCGAATATAATCATTCATAACTTTTGCAAAGGATCAAATGAAGCAATATAAGTAAATTTTTTTTATTCCTGTTTTTTTTTTCGTAATTCCGCCGTAAAATCGGAGATTTTAAAAAGAATTCATCGAAATAGGATGATTTTATTTTATGATATAAAATTACCTAATCAACTACCCAATCAAATATGATGAATAGAATTTGTAAACACTTCATTGAGAGACAGCAAAAGTTAAGCAGCAGACACAAATTGGGAAGACGATATGACAGCTGAGAGTTTGCATTGGCTCTTTAGCCACTCAAACGTCCATGGCTACTATGCTAGCCAAAACAAAAGTAGCGTTGTACGTCCCGGATAGTGAAGTAGCCTTAGCGTCAAGTTTTATAAAACTGACATCTAGGGACATTTGCAGTAATTTTTGTAAGTTTTGTTTTTTGGAATCAATAGCTGATGAACTTCTTTACATATGGCAGTGTAACAAGCCTTAACGAATGAACCGTAATTATTTAACATCAGTCTACTCTACTCTCGGTGTTTTGTGAACAAGTGCTTGTGCTTGTGTTCTTTAGTTTTATTTAATATTGATTAAAACTACTTTTACGGATTTTATCGCGTTTATTTTTACTTTTTATTTATTTTTATTTTTAATTCGCGACGTTTCGGGCGCTTTCCAGCACCCATGGTCACCATGGTCATGGGGGACTGAGATGACTGATGTCCCGATGTCATTGTTAAACCCGGAGTACCTTCAGCTTTTTTAATTATTGTGTATTGTAAAAAAGCTGAAGGTACTCCGGGTTCCGGGTTAAAATCCATAAAAGTAGTTTTAATCATGTATAGTGTTCGCGTAAATATAAGAAATCTTTATTTAATATTACTTAGAATATTATGTCACAATAAACTAGATGATTTATGCTTTATAAATACGTATACATATCACAGTTCTTAGTGTAAAATCGATCTTATTTTAAATTTAAAGTATAGCTGTTTCGAAAGAAATTGACGCTCTCAAGTTATCGGCCCAAGTTTATTTTTGTTTACTTTGTTTTTTAGTAAAATTATATTTAAGCAAACAAGTGTTAGTTCGTAACAAACAGAAATAAACTATATTTATTGAAGATACATTAAAAATGTTTGAAGATGCGTTACTCAGGTTTTTTGTTGTGGCTAGTTTTATATCCACAGACATAACGACAATAGTTCTAAATAAGGGTCGGTACAAACAGCAAAATATGTTTGCCAGATGTTATGCTTTGTTATTTTTTACGGTCTTAGTCTTGGGTCGTGCTGGTTTTGAGTTTAGTTCTTAATAATTTATAATGATTGTTAGTCATAATCGTAATTTCTAATGTTTCTTTAACACATTATTATTATTTTTTTTCCTTGATGATATTAGGGTCAGGTCCAACTTTTTGACGTAATCGCACAACGGAAATCAAAACGGAATGTATCACACTGGAAAATAAATGTAGCACAATAGAATCATTAGGGTGTGTTTATATGGTCGGAAGATTTGAGGTAAATTTAATTTAAAATAAATAAAATTCACATAAAAAAATATTTAATAAGTAGTACAAACCAAAGAACTTTGTTTTTCTTACACTAATAAAACAATATAATATTAATAATTAATTATCTTTTGATTTTACATTATTAATGTCACAAATTTTTAATTTAAAATTTTAAACATACCCATGACATAAAATGATCCCTCAAAAAGTAAAACTAGAAAAGACCTCAAACTTTATCTTTAAACGGCTGAACAGATTTTTTTGAATCGTAGCTAAGAACACTCGATCAAGTCGCCTTTTAAACAAAAAAAAAATCAATATTGGTTCATACGTTTGGGAGCTACGATGCCACAAGCAGATACACACGTTAAACTTATGTTACGTTACTTACGTTTGCATTGGGGGTTAGTTTAGTTTAGTTTACGACGGGCTGTTTTCCGCAACTCCACGTCTAAGTGCGTATTTTGCGTGTGGGCAGGAATAATATGCTTATTCGAGCCATGATATCTCCCCGAAGAAGCTCAGCAGTCCCTTGATGTTGCAAGCAACTTCGGGGAGGGATCCCGGCGTGCCGAGATGTTTAGCCCTGTATGAAGCGACTTCTGGACATGTCAGCAACACGTGAGCCGCCGTTTCTTCCTCTCCCATGCATGCCCTGCACAGGGGGCTGTCAGTAACACCTATGGTGAACAAATGTTTGTTAAAAGAGCCATGTCCTGTGATAGCACTTGCTACTATCCTGATCTGTGGCTTGTTCAGCCTCATTAGAACCTTGGTTAGACGACTGTTTATTTCAGGTAGGGCCTCCTTAGCTTGTCTACAGTCTACTAAATTTTTCCAAAGCTGAGCGTGTAAATTATTGAAGTATCTATGTACCAGTGAACGAACGTAGCCAAAGGGGATTGGTATTATTGGTTCCGGCCCTATAGTTGCTAGGGCCGATCCCCTTCTGGCCAGTTCATCTGCTGCATCGTTGCCTCTAGATCCACTGTGTCCCTTGATCCATTGCAGAGTCACATTGTTGTGCTTACATACCTCATTCAATCGTTGATGGCACTCGTATATCAGTCCCGAGTTCGTCACATTGCAACTCAGAGCTTGTAGTACCGCCATACTGTCGGTCAGTATTCTGATGGAGAATTCTTTCACCTTCCTAGCATCTATTGCTATGGCCGCTTGGATGATACCCATGCATTCAGCCTGGAAGACTGTGTTGTGGGTACCCAGCGGTGTGCATATGTGGATATTAAGGTCTTCAGAGAAAGCCCCAGACCCCACACCCTCATTTGTCTTAGAGCCATCCGTGAAAACTTTGAGCTCTCTTGGACCCAATCCTTCCAGATGGTCAGTTTCCTTCAATTGTATCCTGTACTTCCTATCAAATACAAATTGTTTTGGGATCCTATCATACTTGGCTTGTAAGATAGGAATTTTTGAGTAAATTCTATCAATTATATCTGTATGGGGGACTCTACTCTTACTTAAAAGATTTAGGGTCTTGAGTCTAATGGTAGCTAAAGTTGCTTCTTGTTGTATATATAGATGAAGCGGTGTTAGCTCCAGCATAGCCTCCAAAGCTGCTGTTGGTGTTGTCCTTATGCAGCCCGTGGCAGCCATACAAGCTAATCTCTGGTAACGCTGTAGCTTTTGTATAGTGGTGGCTTCATTGGTTTAGGTCCACCACACCAGAGAGCCGTATGTGATCATGGGCCGAATTACAGTTTTGTACAGCCACAGTATAATTTTTGGCGTTAAACCCCATTGTTTGCCAATCATATTTCTGCACTGCCAGAAAGTTAAACTAGCTTTGCTGATTTTGCTTTCTATGTGTTTGTTCCAGTTAAGTTTACTGTCCAAGGTAAGACCTAAGTATTTTACCTTGGAAGAAAGTTGGAGTTTTGTGCTGAAAAGACTTGGAAGATGATAGTTATTCAGCATTCGTTTTTGTGTGAACATTACTATAACCGTTTTATTAGGATTAACGGTTAGTTCATATTCCCTGCACCATCTCTCCACAATACGGAGAGCCGCTTGGGTCAGGTCGCACACAATGCTTGCTGTCTTACCAGAGACCAGTATTGTCAGATCATCTGCATAACCGACTGTGTAGAAATGATTAACGTTTAATTTGCTGATGAGCTTATTAATGACCATATTCCACAGGAGAGGTGAAAGAACCCCACCCTGCGGGCATCCTTTCATGATCTGAATTGTCTGAGTTTCACCAGCAATCTTTATTGTTCGTGTACTGAGCATGTTTACTATCCAGTCAATCAGCGCCGGTTCAACATTATGTCTACTTAGGGCACCTTTTATGCTGGAGAAATTTGTTCTGTCAAAAGCAGCACCTTCTATGTCTATGAAGGAGCCTAGACATATTGATTTGTTTTGAATGGCCTCTTCAATCTTTGTTATTACCTGGTGAAGTGCCGATTCTGTTGATTAACCTATGCTATAGGCGTGTTGTTTTTCATGTAGCGGTAAGTTAATTAGCGCCGATCCTCTCAACTCCCGTTCACACATCCTCTCCATCGTCTTTAGGAGAAAGGATGTGAGGCTAATAGGCCTATAGGATTTAGGGTCTGTATAGTCGTTCTTACCTGGTTTGGGTATGAACGTGACTTTCACTTCCCTCCATCCCCTAGGAACATATTTAAGAGCCAGACATGCTCTCATTATGGCAACAAGTCTGACTATTAGGACTTTACCCCCCCCCCACGGAAGAAGTGCCGGGAATAAGCTGTCAGGTCCTGCTGCCTTATAGGGTTGGAAACTATTAATGGCCCAATGGATTTTGTCCATCGTCACCACTCTTTGTGCTAATTCCCAGTCTTCTTTTGTTGGTGTCAATGCATCTTCATGCCGGTTCACCCTTTCAACTACACAGCTACCTGGGAAGTGAGTATCAATTAGGATGCGTTGGGTTTCATCCGGCGATGTTGAGTAGCTTCCGTCGGGTTTCTTTAAAGAGATAGATCCTGGCGTGTTCTGTTTAGCTAGGATTTTCCTTATCCGATTTGCTTGTTAACAGGTTTCTATGCTACCACAGAATTTGCGCCACCCTGTTGAGCGTCGATACCCGATACATTTTTTGTATTCAGACTTAGCTTTCTTATATAGAAGCCAGTCTTCATCCTTTGAGGTATTCATTGCCCTATTTAGGGCTTTACTTATCTTCTTACATTTCCTGTCTAGTTCTTTACCCCACCACTGTTGCTTTTGCTCAGCATGTTTTGGTGGAGTGATTACTGGACATGATTCATGGTAGCTATCGATCATGGCCTTAGTGACAGCTGCTATCTGTTCTTTTAGGAGCGATTGATCTGCTATGGTATTAGTTCCCCCAACACCCGCGAGCGAAGACGTCAGCCTATTGAGGTATTTTGTTTTATCCGTCTTGTGGGGATTTCTCCATGGTGGTATAGCGGGGATATCGACCTGTAGTACGCAGCAGATCCATCTGTGGTCTGAGCATGAGGCCTCTTTCGACACATGCCATCCCGTTATTAGCTTAGCTGCTCCTTCTGTTGCAAGTGTGCGACAGCGTTTATTTATGAAGGTTGGTTCAGAACCAGTGTTTAATATGGTTAGGTTAGTGCTAAATAAATATTCAACTAAAACCTTACCTCGTTCATTAGGTTTTTCCATTCCCCAAAGGGGATGATGTGCGTTGGAGTCCGTCCCGATCACAACCTCTAGTCCGGCCCTCTCACAGAAATTGACCAGCCTGACGAGTTCGTGAGGGGGAGGGGTATCTTCCTCAGGCATGTAGACCGAGGCCACGACTAACCTTTCCTCCTGTGTATTTTGTAATGCTACGGCATACATGTCTCTGGAACAGAAATCTGTTAGTGGTTTTGCACAGATATCTTTAGTAGTATAAATACTTGCTCTAGGCTTGTCGTGCTCAGAGTTGTAGAATAACTCACCTCTTAGGTTGTTTAGGCCTTTAATTTTACCGGCCCCAACCCATGGCTCTTGGATTAGGGCTATGGCCGTCCTTTGCCTCCAACCACTTGCGTAATTGAGCCGACGCTGTCTCACTGTGGTGGAGGTTGGCCTGCACTAGGCTAGTTTTGGACGAAGGGCACGCCATCATCGATCGCGTCATCCCCGTCCCCGCCTAAAAATAAGCCTGCCAGCAAGCAGATCTCGGGTTTCATCGTCAGCCACCGAGTCGGAATTGGACGGCAAGATGCAGTCCTCTTCGTCGCTCAGTGAGCTGCCACTGAGCCTAGTTTCCACTGGGGGCTTCGGCTCGGTTGTGCAGGCAGTTTTTTCACTGCACTTGACATCCAGTGATTTCGATGTTCCGGCAACCATGGCCACGGTATCCATGACTTCCGGGTTCTTTTCTGCCTCTTTGCTAGGTGGGGAATCAACGAATTTTCCTCCACGACCCTGGAATTTAACGTATACCGCCCCACATACACACGCGAGACGGCGCCCGGCTTTCATCAGGGTCGGGATATGATCCTCCGGCACCGAAACAACGAGGAACCACCCGTCCGTCTGTTTGTCCGCTTTGAGTAGAAGCCAGTCCTTGATATTTACCCAGCGGTTCTGGTACGCAAGCACACGGCCAATGTCGCGTGAGTCCTTCCAGGCACCTTGGGCATCAGGGATAAGGATACCACATTTGATTCTTTGTGGTATCTCTGACTGTTTCTTAACAGTCAGCGAGGTGTTGGATTTGAGGTCGAGGGTATTAATATTCCCCTACAACCAGTCCAGAGCCTTCTGGTCATCGCACCACAGCTTTAGGACACCCTCCGTGTAAACGGTCCTCGTTACTCCAGGCCTCGCTGATCTTCCTCTGTATGGCCACGAGGATGTCATCAGCTATCTCCTTTGTTATGTGACTTGAACGCGCACACGTTAAGGCCACACCTAAATCTGCTTTAGCAGCAGAAGCGTAGCTTGTTCTTGCAGCCTTTGTTTCCTGTTCAAGTCGCACTTTTTTGTGCTCTCCTCTCGGCGAGGTGGACTTTTCCAGCATTCTTTTGGCTGCTCTTTCCTTCTTTCTACGACGCTTGGCTGCTCTCTGGTTCCTGGCGGATTTCTTAGAGCTGGTTCCGGCGGCCGTGCCTACTGCTCGGGCGGGATTTTTATCCTGCCCAGTTTCAGCACGACTACTGGTTCCAGCCCCAAGCACCGCAGTAGCAGTAGCTTGCCCAGCTCCCTGAGTCTTGCTCTTGGAAGCAGCCAGCGCGGCTCTTTCTCTGCGGCCTTTTTCTCGCTGCTTCTTATTCTTCTTTTTGACCTTTGCGCTACTGCCTGTTGGGATAAACCCACCTGATGGTGCGTCGGGTCGGCAAGTCACCATTTTGGGTGCCTTGCGCTTCCCCTTACGGCTTACTCTTACTTTTCTCGTCCAGCTCCTTGGATTTGGAATTGGATTTAGACACATCCAGCGCGGAAATTGCCCCCTTGGTAGGGCCACCTACGCTGGGTGGTACAGTCAGTGGAACGGCTGGTTTAACGGCGGTTCCTTCTGGTTTATCAGTGTCTAAGGTAAACACCTCTGACACTTCTCCTTCTCTACTAATCGGCCTTGTGTTGTCCATAGTTTTGACATGTGTAATAATTCGTCCCCCCGGCTTCCCACCCTCCGTGGAGCCCGCACCTTTGGGAACGCCCTACTTTATTAAAAGAATTTCAGGTGTTAGGATTACCGGGGGAATATAGGGACGCAGAGTTGGCTCACAGCGCGACATCGGGAGCTCGATTCAGCTGGTAGATAGGGCTGAAAAAGGCCCATGCCTTTTTCAGCCCTATCTACTGCCCTTTACCGCCACCTAGCCCTTTTCAGGGAGACTAGGCAGCCCCCACATCCCTCGCCTGCGACCCTCAGACAGGACGTTTGGCCATTTCCTTATCTGTGGCTAGCAGATAAGGCCACCGTTTAGCTTGAAATCCGGACCAAAGAGGGCGTGTTGCCTCTCGACACTATATACCCCAGTGACGATCGGCTCAACCCTCCAGGACTCCTTCATCCCCGCATACGGCGCTCAACTGCGCAGGTCCTAGCGCAGGTGGGTTGTTAGTCCACCGGATACACCCACTCTCTCCGGCGGATCCGTTCCCTCCTCTTTTCCGGGCTTGGGACCGGCAGCAACAAAAAGCATTGACAAAGTTAGTTGCCCGTGCTTCCTGTTGCAGGCAGAGTTATAGAGTGCATTGGGGGTTATAAACAACAAAATCCTTACTAATAAACTAATCAGTCAGGTGGCCTACCATGACATCTTAAAACAATATTGTTTTAATCTTATTCCAGTTTGTAGTAGAGATGACGCTATACATCCTGTATAGTTCTGTCTCTTTCTAACACTGAAATGACGTTAAAACAATAGTGCTTTAAGAGGTCATGGTAACACCACTGTTCTATGTAATATTGGTTTTAAACTGAAAAAAAAAATTACAGCTAAACAAAATAAACTTCGTCAAAATCGTCAACCAGTAGTCTTTGGAATCTTGCCATAGTCTTATTTTTTTAACAATCGAATCGCTTGTGATAATGTCGAGATCAACTTTTTTTAGTAGAATGAATTTTAGTTTTGAGGATTTTACAGTCTTTAGGAAGGAGATCGTGAATAAAGTTTTACCATCTTCATTGTGAATTTTCTGAACATATCCTACGTAGTACCTCCATATTTTTCTTACGTAATATCTGAATAAAACAACGTCATTTAGAAAAATATGATTTATTAATAAATCATATTTTTCTACATTCGCTTCTTGATTCATCGCCGAATTAACTTCAGAACAGGACGGAATAGGATTTAAATATATATTTTCAGTATTTTCTTTCTCCAATTTACTATTATTAGATGACTGTTTTTTCACTGAACTCACATCAAAGTCTAAACCTATTTCTGTAAGCTTCCCAAATGTTTTAAAATAAAAACCACTGTTTTCAGGCGTATTTCTTACATCGGCGAGGATTTTCACTTCACTGTTTCCATTCTTTTTTCCTTTACTTTCTGATCCTTTTTGCATGTCACTATCTAATTCTATCTGTAACACCTTTTCTTCTTCTGTATTTGTTTTTAATATTACATCTTCTGTTCTTAAGTGATTTTCAATCTCTGGTACAGTCTTATTCTGTATTATTTTTTCAGATAACATTGTTTTCTCTGTTTTTTCTCTGCAGGTTTCCTGCTCTTCTGGATCATTATCATCAAAATATCCAGCTTCATTCCAATCAGATTGATCGCTTTCGGCATATTCGATCTCCGTATCCGTATCTTCGGAAGACGAATCTATTTTTATCATAATTTTCCTGAATCTATCTCTACGAACTCTTGGTTGTTTTTCATTGATTTCTCTTATAAGAACGTGAGTTTTAGTAGAAACGCAGTCGCAGTTACCTCGCATGCAGAAGCAGCTTAGCGCTCTGTATTTAACGGTATTTTTATTTTCAGTGACGATGACTTGGTGTATTTTCATTGTGGATGGTATCGGTAAAATTTTTTCGGGATTAGATATTTTAATTTTTTCTATTTCTTGGTTAGAAACGTAAAATGTCTTGACAGATATTTCGGATTGTATTAATGTCTCAAATACGGACCTTGCATCGACAATATCTGTACCATAGGCAACTGTGGCATCCAAGGTTCTTTTAACTACACCTCCAACCCCATCGGCTGCACCTTTCCCATGAGACGCCTCGAAAAAAGACCAGGTCGCTTGATGGAATCCTTCATTCTGCGTTATTTCACAAAAAAGAAAAAAGTTGTATTTTTGACGATATTGCGTCGTGGGTCCATCAGACCAAATGTGGATGCGTGCGACTAACTGTGGGATGTTTTTCTTTAATAAACTCTATAACTGGTTTTAAATGGCCCCATATAGCTTCGGGACCATGCTTGAGTGAAGGAGAAACGGTACAAAAACATAACGGTTTCTCATTTTTTATATATATTAGGCCAATATGCAATGTGACTTGTGTTTTTGATGATCCAAAGTGAATGGCCTGCACTTCTTGAGCCATTTTACAAACGTAATTCTCAGAAAAGTCTGAGTGAAGTATAACTTCGTCATCTTCTACTTTTTCAATTGATTCTTTATATTGCAAACATTGGTGGTAAATGAGCTTTTGATGATGAATGATGATTTTTGAGGTCTCGTTGTATCATTTAATAAAAAAACAAAATTGAATGTTTCAATTTTGTTTGTTATTAAATCTATTATTTTTATATAAATGTTACTTAAGTTTAATAAATATAAGTAAAAAAAGTAATGAAAACAGCTAAAAATTGGCCTTTAATAAGAAATATATAAATATTCTATTCTATTCTTTCTATTTATTGTACATTTTTATGGCGTATCCACACAAGCCGCCGGGTTTGTCGCTGGCTTTCATACCGCCTTGCCGCTGAATTTGCCGGCTTTACCGGCGGCCTGCAATTTTCGCAGTAGTGTTGTGACTTTCGTCTAAGTTAGTCGTGTACGTAGGATTGGAAGATGTTGGACTATAATATAGTTGCGTGTATCGCAAGTGTAGTGTTGTATGTTATTATTCATAAAAAGAACCGCAAAATCAAATGAAGATATTGGGTCAGACCAAGTCTACGAAATAGGCCTAATGTGTCCCTGATACTTGAAGATTTTAGAAAGGACGACATAAACCCAAGATATATTCGTTCGAAATTTAACACTTTTTTAAGGATCTCTAGTGAATAATTTGAAATATTACTGAATTTAACTGGACCCATGATATCAAAAACTGAAACCCGCTGGAGAAATGCTGTGTCAGCTTCCGATCGACTAGCAATTGCTTTGAGATACCTGGCTACAGGAGACTCTTATTTTTCACTCGGTACACTGTTTAAAGTGTCTCTACAAGTTATTTCGTTAATAATTCCAGATGTTTGTCAAGCTTTGGTATCTATAGTTCATAAAAGGTAGCTTGATCTCTGCGACAGCTGTCAGTAAAATCACGCCTATGGAAGTCCTGAATTTCTTAGTAGTACAGACAGTACCTGTCAATGTCATACTTTATGGGCATGCCGACCTAATTAGTGCATGCCCATAAAGTATGACATTGACAGGTACTGTCTGTACTACTAAGAAATTCTGGACTTCATAGGCGTGATTTTTACTGACAGCTGTCGCAGAGACCAAGCTATCTTTTATGAACCATACATTATCCAATTATTTAAGGGTAAGTACAAATATCCGTAACACATTAGGTAGTTAGAAACTGACGTTTTCCAAAGTGACGTATCTATTCCTAGTCGAATTATAATATCTATGATTTTATACTGTACCTACCTGGAACTTCACACACATTTTACATACATATAACTAGAACTACACACACAAATATCACAAACAATTTTATTTTACAGATGCCGAATACATAGGGAGAATGGCTATCAGTGGCTCGGAGTTTCATGCAGAAATGGAATGTACCTAATTGCGTAGGTGCCATCGATGGGAAACATATAAGTATACTATGTCCAAATAATAGCGATTCTGAGTTTTTTAATTATAAGTCATATTTCAGTATTGTTTTGCTACCTTTAATCGATGCCAATTATAACTTTTTATACGTGCCATTGGATGTCAGGGCAGAATATCTGATGATGGAGTTCTACGAAATTCAACTTTATTTGATATGATACGAGATGGAACTTTAAGTCTGCCACAAGCGATTCCATTACAAGGGAGAAATACACCTGTACCTTTTTATTTCATCGGTGACGATGCTTTCCCCATCTAACAGAATGTAATAAAACCATTTTCTGGATATCATGCAAAAGGATCATCTGAGAGGGTTTTTAATTATAGAATTAGTCGCGGACGCATGGTTGTAGAAGACGCGTTTGGCGTTTTATCTAATAAATTCGGAATTTTGCATTCACGCATTGGTTTACAAAATGAGAAAGCAAAAATTGTCGTGATGGCTTGTGTGCATCTGCATAATTTTATGAAGAGAAATGAAAGAACTACTGATGGAGTTTTGAACGAAGAGCAAAAAAATATTCCGCAGATTGCTCTAAATGTACAACCAAGTGTTATTAGAAATGAGCTAAAATGTTATTTTCTATCGGAACAAGGTCAGCTTCCATGGCAATATCAAATATAATGTTTGAAAGAAATAAAATATGATTATTCAAATAATTGTTTTATTTAGGAATCTGAAACATTTATCAATAATTTTAAGCTTTTATTAAAATAAAATAATTTAACCGAAAATATAAACGTTTATTTTAATCTATTACACTATTTTCGTTTAAATTATTTTCCAAGACTAGTAACAGACTGTCACTTGTGTTGACATCCGGGCTATTTTGCACTTCATAGTCTGATTGAACAGAGTAAGAGCGCGAAGTTGAGGGTGACGGTGACATTGCTGACGTTGTAGGTTGGCCTGTGAACTATCCTGGACGAACATTTTGATAACGAAGAGGCTGAGTAGTAAGTATTATTGGTCCTATCAAAATACATCAAACCCATTCTCATTTCTGCTTCATAGACAATATTCTCGATTTGATGTTGTACTGTACACATCGTGTAATGATCCATCTTCCTCAACTTGCTACTTATATAGTCTGCAAATATAGCAGCATCATCGCGTTGCCTTGCATCAGATGTAATCTGTCTCAGTAATTGCAAAGCTTCATCAACTTCAGGATCTCTCTATATTTCGTTTTCGCGAAGGTAACTTGTCGAAGGTAGCGTAGTCTGGGGAGTGATATTATCTTGAGAAGACTGAAAATAAAAAGGAAATCTTATAAATAATTGCAAACAAGCTTAACATCTACGGTGAATGCATGTCTTTTCGTAACTCGCGCCGCGCATTATTGTTTTTAGTTTTATCGATGTTAATAAACATTTATATTTCTTTATAAAAGTAGTGTTTAATTGATAGGTTTACCTCAACCTGCCCTAACACACTACAGTAGGTAGTAGGTATCTAATATTAATACGCAGGCAAAAACTTTGTACCCCTATTTACGAAAATATTACTTATTGAAATAATGTATTTTAAATTAATTATGGTCGAATTTCGACCAATGGGCGACCAACTAGTCTACTTAATTATAAGAATTTGATGGGTACTTACACTAGGTGTGTGGCTGTTCAGAGTCGGTACCGGTGCATTCTTGTCATTAAGAAATGATAACGCCTTATAAGCAAACCATTTCGGCAATTGAACATCTTCCCGTCCAGATCCACTCCTTTTAGATTCTTCATATTTGCGTTTTTCTCGAAAATAATGGCTGGATAAATTCTTCAGTTTTCTCTCAATTTCTGATGATGCTATGTTGAACACAGAAGCAATATCCCTAATAGCATCATTTCTTTTGTTGCGATTCTTGAAATCCATATGCCTTGGGTTCCACAATAGTTCATATTCTTGATACTTTTCTATTAGTAAAAGTACTGCACTATCATCCCAGTTAAATTCTGTCATTTCGTTATTCAAGTATACGAAATTATGTTATTCACGAATACTACAACACTACCACTCCGTATCGAAGCCGCAAGCAAACTGCCGCCGGCGCCGGCAACCAAAAGCCGCGCGTGCCGCAGGGGATGGCCGGCGGCCTGGCCGCCGGGCATGTGTGGATGCACCATTATACACTAAATGATTTTTGTAAAATAAATTGTCTTGTTAAAAGAAAGAGGGTGAAGTTTGTTATAATAGCAAGACATAACCATTTCATATTTTTTTATTTGTTATTTGTATTTATCAGAACTACACTCAGCGTCACAAAAATCGCACCTCTCTGAGTTTGCGCGAAAAATGGCTGTAATGGCTAGAAACGAATTATATTTATATAAATATTGGTGTGTTTGAAATGGGTATTTGAATAGCTTTACATTATTAATAAAAAATCGTGAAATCATTAAAACATTTATCATTATAGAGCGTCAAAAATAAACACTGTCAAATGTTCGTTAGTAAGGACGCTAGACACCACCTAAAAAGGGTATAAAAGGGTCAATCTGGATGAAATATGGCTTGCGCCCTCCTTTCTGCCAAGGAGGGTTGCGTTCGTATACGGCTTAGAGATCTCTAGTCAGATCGTTAAGCCAATTCCTAAAAGGCGGTGTTTAGTGGGTAAAAGTCTCCACATAACCACGCAGCCGGCTGCGTGGTATGCTATGAGCATTCACCGTCTCCCTCCCCCGCTTTCCGGAGGGTTGCCCATATTTGCTTCGGGCGCAAAAAAAATGAAATATGGATCAGTCGTAATTTAGACTTTGCAGTGAACACAAGTGAACAAGTAACCCAAGTAAGAACAAGTAAAGATGGACACCAGCTCTGAAAGAAGCCGCTCAAGTGATTGCCCTATTGCAGTCGGGGATGCGGCAGTGTGACGTTGCTCGACAGTTGAACCTGTCCCGTTTTTCAGTTCGACGGGTGTTCCAACGTTTTCAGCAGACTGGTGGTTATGTTAGAAAACCGGGATCTGGAAGAAAACGGTGCACATCAGAAAGAGATGACCGTTTCATCGTTACGACATCTTTACGAAACCGTTTTACAAATGCTGTTGAGTTGCAACAACAGCTTCGATCAACTCGGAGAACATCTGTGAGTGTTTCTACGATAAGAAGAAGGTTACACGAAAAGAGTTTAACAGCCCATAGACCTGCTAAAGGTCCAAAACTTACTGTACAGCATCGCAGAGATCGCCTAGAGTTTGCTCGCAATCATTGCGAGTGTACTCTAGAACAGTGGGGGACCGTACTCTTCTCTGATGAGACGAGGGTCTGCCTCTTCTGCAACGACAGACGTAGAAGGGTCTACAGAAGACAGGGGGAGAGGTTCACACAACCCTGCTTCGAAGAATCCGTCGAATACGGGGGTGGCTCGTGTATGTTTTGGGGCGGCATTTCCGTCGACGGAAAAACGGAACTTGTGTGCGTTTCCCGGACTCGGGGTGGCCGTGGGCAAGGGTCATTAAATGCTGGTCGGTACATTACTGAAATCCTGGAGGAACATGTGGTCCCGTATGCTGGTTATGTCGGTGATGGATTCATGTTAACGCATGATAATGCTCGTTGCCACACCGCGGCTATTGTACGGGATTATTTACAGGAGGTCGATATCCCTGTTATGCATTGGCCAGCACGAAGTTCAGACCTTAACCCAATAGAATATCTCTGGGATGACCTAAAACGGCGCGTGCGAGCTCGAGATCCAGCTCCAACCACTCTTCAAGAGCTCCAAGATGCGGTACTTGAAGAGTGGGAACAAATACCTCAAGAGGCTGTTACGACCCTTGTAAGGTCCATGAAAGATCGCATGGAAGGCGTTATCAAGGCAAGGGGGGTAACACTAGGTTTTAAGAACTTTTTTTGTATTTATTAAGTTTTTTTTAAATTATTAATTAAAATTATTAATTGTACCCTGTCTTTTTCTTTAATTTCTCTTTCGTCTCGTTATAAAAGTAAAATTCAATTAAATTAAAATTCCTGAAAGCTAATGAAATTACCTTTCGAATGATACCCTCAAACCACAACATTGCCATCGGCCTGTTGTGTTAAAATAGTATTTAAATTTTTTTTCGGATGTGCGAGTTTTTTGACGCCGAGTGTTATAATAAGGAAGGTTCTTTATTATTTACATGATATATACTTGTTTTTTTGCTTGCGTTTTACTAACAAACCTATCTTCGCTCTAAATATCTCTGAACAATAGTTTCGACTATATTGATAATTTAACTATCAAGGAATAAAGAAAAAGAGTGACTATATCTGTGTATTTTTATTTACAATATTTTCCTTAAAATTACATAACATAAAACAAATGAAAAATATTTCTGATGCCAAAGGAACATAGAACGAGTCAAGTGGTGTCTGTAGTATTTTATAGGTTTTTGTAAGGCCTATAAGCCTTTCTATGTGTAGTACACATTGTGTACCCTTTGACATGCAAGTATTTGATCATTTCTTAATACTGCAACTGGTAACTGTGATTTACCTCTCAAGAAAGTAGGTATGTTGACTGCAATATTTTTTTGAGCAAAAAAGTCTTGCACATTAAACCCTCTATCTGCCATTATATTATCCCCATCATCACACAAATTTAACAATGAACTACGTTCAATCATTTGCTGGTCACTGGTTGCTCCGCCATAGCCTTCAGAACAATAAAACAGGAGACCGCCTGGTGTAGAGCCCACCAAAAACTTTATAGTGTTGGTATTTTTATAAGTGCTGTAAGTGGCTTTCTGGGATGTAGGATTGCTAGGTGTAGCAATAGGCACTTCTGTTGCATCAATAATTATTCTTGTTTTGCTACTTTCATTTTTAAATATATGAGGCATATACTTAGTAATGCAATAAATCACGTCGAGGCCAAATATCAATCATTGACCATTATTTATGTACAAAGTGAATCCAAGTAACTATTATGTTTGAAACCTCGGTTTTGCTTATACCGTAAAACGGGGTGGATAGGCACGATTAGTAATTTTGAATTTGATTATCATTAATTATTTTTATGCCGGAATAAACGCTTACATTATTTTCAAATGAGTCTTATTGTTTATTTTACAATTTTATAATAATTTTATTTGTTTTAATCATGCATTTAAAAGTAAATTGACAAAATGTAAAGTTTTCTATTCACTTGGGTTATGGGTGAAAAGAAACGCCAGAGGGGTAAATAGAAAAATTTACTAGGGTTGTTACAAACATGATTCCTTTGAATAATCGCATTTAATCAGTGGGTACCTACTTAAACTATTTTTTAGATATAAGTAGATAGGTATGAATTGAACGCTATCATTACATTAGGATATTTTTACAGTTACTGAATATGAATACTTCATCGAAGAAATGTTCTAAATAGGTAGATATAGAAATAAAATTACGTAGGTAGGTATGTTTTTATTAAATTAAAAAATATAAATCACAGACAGTTTCATTTTAGGCACATTGAAACACTTAAACATTATTATTTCTTAGCATAACAAAACTATAGATAAAAGATATTATGTATTGTAGGTAATTAGGCACTTTAAAAAGTGCGCAGCGACGGTATGTAAGTGACACGCTATTTTTTTTATGTGTTAGATGAAAATAAAATGTGTGTAAATCACTTACTCATTAAACAAATGTCATTTAATTGATAAAAAGTCTAATTAGTTGAGTTTTCATTTACAATTAAGAACTCTCTTAGGAACATTGAACACTTATATATATATATATATATATATATATATATATATATATATATATATATATATATATATATCTTCAATATTATAGAGATGCAAATATTTTTGTAATTTGTAACTTTGAAATCTTACGAACTATGCTACTGAATGAAAATATTTTTTTTTTGATTGACATCACAGTTTAAGTCATTGTATGTTCTCATCCATCAAATCTTTAAGAATATCGTTCTCATTTTTGTAATAAGACGGTCTTCTTGAGGGAATAGATTTTATACCACTTGTACTAGGTTTCGGTTCATCATCAAGAACATGTTTTGGTTTTTTAATATAAAAACTATTCGATATGTTTTTACATTTATTGACGTGTATTTCCTTAGAAAAGGTTTCAATAGAAATAATGTTAATTTTTTGTTTTGTTTCTCTTCTTTTTCAATATTTCCAATTGTAATATCTGCTAAGACTTGTGAGCTTGTATTCAAATCTCCAAATCTATCCTTATTATCTTCATCACATATTGGTAATCCCAGAGAGTGTTCATTTTCTATTTCAAATTCATCATCATAAACGATTGGCATTGATTCTACATCATAATTTTCACAGTCTAATATGATATTTTCATATTTTTTTTTCATTTTCTTCATTATGTTCCGTCTCTTCAGTATTTTTTTCATTTTGATCAATTACATTCTCTTTAGCATTACTTTCATTTTGTTTATTGGACTTTTTTCCTTTTCCCTTTCCTTTTTTAGATATCTCAGTACCTTTACTAGCCTCTTTCCGTTTTTTATTTTTAAAATCTCTGTCTTCAGAATCCACATAATCTTCAGTTTCATCATAATCACTAGAATTTTTACCTTCAGTTCCATCCCCAACACTTCTCCCAGCAATCACATTTAACTTCCTTTTCCTTGTAGATTGCTTGACGGTTGTGGTTCCATAGCGTAGCTCCTTAAGTAAGTCCAAAATTGATTTTTCCACTTCTTCTCCACAATCTTCAACTGGCAATCTGTTTGTTCGCGCCACTTTGCACTAACGCTTATCGCTTATAAGGAATTCGTTAATTATTATCCAATAAAATTACTGTAAAGCCCATTTCCGGTTTCTTACCTACCGCTTTATGCCCAGCATGTGCATTCTTGTTACGGGCTCACACAAGTTGAGAAGACACGCAACCAACCGCATCGCTTATATCTCGCATCATCGCTCCCGCCCTTGTGTAATTTGGACATTGAATTATACAAGCATATAGTAAAAAGTATAGACATTTGCAATAACGCTATATTTCGTGATTATCTGTGAAGTTGATAAGTGTGAAGAAAGCCGGCAGCCATCGAGACACGAGGCAGATCAGCGGAAGTCCAGGTGGGTGCACATGCATTCCTTCACGTCCTTCCTATATCCCGAATTTAGGGGATTTGCAGTATCACGAATAAATTAAATTCCATTCACCGCTCGCACCGCGCTCATATACTAAATGTGTTTACTAACACATTTTTATATGGACTATGGTCTGAATTAACAATATATTATTATTATTATTATTTATATATACAGTCCACTATTCTATTTAAATTAATAGCCGCACCGCATAACATTATTTAATACATTTGAACCAGCAGTTTGGTGGTTGAAAGCCAAACGCCAAACCCACCAAATATTTTTTGGTCACTTCGGCCGGGATTAAATTAACCTTTTCGGCCCGGAGAAGTAAATTCATTTTTTTTATATGTTACAAAAATTATATACGTAAATATTATTAAATTATAATAAATTGTAGTTCTAATTATACTAACTAAAATTATATTTGTCCCGCATCGCTTATTACACGTATATATTATATAATACCTTTGTAACGCATACCACACCGCTTCATTATTCCATTAATGATATTTTCTTGTTTATTAACCGCCATCTTACTAGTAACGCGAGATTGGTTCGTTCCCCAGTTAACTAATTCTACCGTCACTTATCGCAATAATTTTAGTCCGCAGTTGTTTGTTGAAAATGACGACGAGAAGCAAAGAATCGAAACTGGTTTCGAATGAAGAAGTTAGTTTAAAAATTATTATCGCTAAACGTAATTATATATTTACGAACGATTACAAAAAATTTACGAGACCTCAAAGGGCGCATTTAATTCCTTGGACGAGCAGAATTTATTTCTTAGTATCGCTTCGAATATAGAACAATTACGTAGTGAGTTTCAAGAAGTTCTAGATAACTATAATACTAAAAATTTAAAATTAAACCCTAATGCAGACGTTGATTACGAGGCTTGGAACTCATTTGAAGATTTATATAGTCGTATTAAGTGCCAAAATACGAAAATATCCACATCGCCTTCCACTGTTACGTTAGAAAATAGATTTCCTACTAAATTAAAAACTTCACTTCCGCCAATTGAATTAATGTCATTTAACGGAGACATACGCCAGTGGTCCATGTTTTATCAACAATTTAAGTAATTTAATTCAACATTAATTCACGACAATTTACAATTAACTGATGCCGAACGCGTTTATTATTTGGTTAACAAACTGAGTGACAGGGCGTTATCAGTTTGTGCCGGGTTAGCCCCTACCCTACTTAAATATTGCACTTAGAAAATTAGATCATGACACTGTTAAGTCATTTGAAATGTCTTGTCGCACAATTAGCATATAGTGCCACCAACTTATCTGTTCAGTTTACAGAGTCGCTAGTGGAGTGCTTACTATTGCCATTTAAGAAATTCGCCGAGGAAATAGGTGACTACATATTCATTAGGTACACATAATATAAAATGAAACAAATTTCGTGTTAATATATTAAAATTAGTGAGAATTAGTGTTATTATATATATTATTTATATTTTATAAAAATAATTGTGGTCGTGGTCTCGGAGTTCAAGCGGCCGAACTCCAGGAATTTCTGTTTTGAAAGACGTACCCGCGTTAGCTACTGATTCCAATAATTCATCTTCTGAGTCACTGGAATCGCTTTCGCTATCGCTATGACACTCTATAATAAAGGGTTCATCTAAATACGCGTCTTTTAGTCTGTATGCATTTTCAATTTTTTTCACATGATTACAAATGTTTTTCCACTGCACCGGTGTAATTTTATTGAATGCATCTTCAATTAATTAGGGCATTAGAACATTAGATTTTCCAACATTTTTGTCTGCTATGTTCCTTTTCATAGAGCTCCATATCATTTCAATTGCGTTCAAGTCGCAATGATAAGGCGGCAATCTAAGAATAACATGGCCATAACTTTTCATCAGGTTATCAATTTCATATTCCGGAGCAGGTTTATTTTTCTTTATTAACTCATAAAGCTGTGGTTTTGTCATTTGTTCATTGAAATCCACATTGTTTTCTACAAGCCACTTCTGCATATCAGCCTTACTGTGGTTTGAATTAGGACACCTATTTACGCAAATACTATGGTATGGCGCATTATCCATCACAATGAGAGAAGGTTCATGCAGATTAGGTAGTAATTTTTCATATACCCATTTTTTGAAATTAGTGCTATTCATTTCATCATGGTAGTCCCCATACTTTGTATTTGATTTAAATACGAGAAGTGCATTTTCCACAAAACCTTTTTTCTCCACCTGCATGGATTATGATCCACCTATTACCTTTCGAAACAGGTTCCAAATCGCCATCCTCTTCAGGACCTTGCCAACATTTCCCAGTTGAGTGAGACGAATGTATGTAAGTTTCGTCTAAATAAATAATAGGTCTTTTTTCACCACACTCATTTTCTTTAATTTTTTGTAGGTAGGTTGCTCTCCATGCAACTACGTCGTTACGTTCATACAACACTTTTCTATTTGATTTTGTTTTCTTATAACGAAATCCTATTTTGTGAAGCAATTTTCGAAGAGTTTCACGTTCTGCTTTGAAATCAATATCTTCTTTTAAAATACTCAGTAATTTGGGTATGGTAGGAATTTCTTTTTTCACTGAATAAAATTCGTGAATTTTTCTTCTTATAACACCAATGTCGAAATTATCCACTTCTTGTTTCCCGGTTTTTCTTTGCCTTTTTTTGCCAGGGGTAGAAATTTTAGAATTTGATTCTTCAGCGTGTTTCTCTTCATTTACGAGTTTGTGTACAAATCGCTCAGAAACACCTGTAACGAAACGACAAATAATTATTGTATAGGTAAAATTAAATAAATATAAGCCCGTGTATATGCCGTCACTATAGCTACTTCACAGACCACAAATTACAAAGCTAGGTAATTTAGACGAATTACAGTAAATTGAGAATTTTTTTTTACTATGTTTCACAAGTACATTATTAGGTGATTTTAATTTTACATATCTGGCAATACTAACCTGTCGCGGCAGTAACGCGTTCATACAGCTTTTCAAATGGTATAATTGGGGCTTGTACACGTTTCTCTTCTTTCATAAAAGATAAAACTTTTAGGATAATCTGTCGCGCATCACTTTTAAGAGCTTTAGGCATTTTATTTGCACTTTTTAAAAACACTCACCTGATAGCTCAGAATAAATAATAACTGACAGCGAAATGTCATTTACAAAATGGCGGCCTTAGTTCCAATTTTGTCCACCTGAACAGATAAGTTGGTGGCACTATACCAAACTACGCCTCTTTAGTACAATTTTTATACGAACAGAATAGGGCTATATGCCATACATTTAATAATTCGCATACTTTATCTACATCCAATAATAATCGAAACAAATCACTTTCAAATAAATTTAGTAAAACATTTATTAATACAGATCCTTCGCATTCATGTATCTTTTGTAAATCAAATGATCATGAACACTTGTATGTTTGTCCACGCTTTTTAAAATTAAATACACAACAACGTTACTATATTATTAAACAAAACAATTGTTGTATTAATTGTTTAAGTAATAAACACTCGATTTATTTTTGTAAATCGAAGCGTAAGTGTATATACTGCGCGCGGCGCCACCATTCTTTAATTCATTCTGACCCGCATCAGAATGGTTCTAAGACTGCTTTTCGTAGTAGCAATACGTTACACTCAGAAGTTGTGCAGGCGCGTAACGCTAATGCATGCAGCGCGCGTTCGAGTAACTACCGCGCAGTTAACGATAATAAGGTTAATTCTTCTGTCGCTCACAATTCGAATACGGCGGAAGATGAAAAAACACTTACCTCTTCATGTAATATTTCTCGCGATTATAGTACTCTCCCGCGCTATACTACTTTATTGGGGACTGCAAAAATAAAGGTCGTAGATAAATACGACAATGAACATTTTATTCGGTGTTTAGTTGACCCCGGATCCCAAAGCGACTATATTACGAAGGATTGTTGTAAACGCTTATTTCTTTCCGTTTCGAATAAAAATCGTTTTACCGAAGTACACGGGATCGGTGGTGTGTCCCAAAAGACTTTAGGAGTCACTTCACTGCAGTTCACGTCTCGTTTTAATGATAACAAATTTTATCATATTGAACCATTAGTTGTTCCGACCATCACGGGTCAGTTGCCAGATTCGATAGTAGATGTTTCAAAAATTCGCTATTTAGATAAAATACGCTTAGCAGATGATCAGTTTTATCAACCTGGGTCTATAGATATTTTATTGGGGGTTAATACCTACATAAAACTTTTGTCGCCTGAAAACTTAATTCATTCGCAATGGCCTAGTGCCATAGAAACATCACTCGGATATATTATTATGGGTGATGCTGAAGTCGCTATATCACATCATTCCCCGCGTTCATTTGTTTCCTGTTCTTACGATACAAATTTGCATCAAAATTGTCTTAATGATATAATGGAAAAATTTTGGAAAATTGAAGAACTTCCGCAAAAAACATATTTGAGCCGTGATGAGCAGGAATGTGAAGACATTTATACTTCTACTACTTACCGCCAAAACGACGGACGGTATATGGTCGCCCTGCCATTTAAGAAAAGGCCCGACATATTGGGTGACTCTTTAATGAACGCAAAAAAACGCCTCTTACTTTTAGAAAAACGCTTTAACAAATATCCCGATCTTCGCGATCAATACAATGTTGTTATACGGGAATACATTAATAAGGCTATTTTATCCGCTGTTTCTGATAATGATTGTATACAGCCTTCTTTTTATTTGCCGTATCACCCTGTCGTACGGAATGATAAAAGTACAACGAAGTTGCGCATCGTTTTAGACACTAGTGCTAAGTCGGATAACGATATTTCTTTGAATGACATTTTGCACACGGGGCAAAATTTACAAACAGACATTTTTAATGATTTCTTATATTTACGCGAACACTACACATTGAAATAATACTAGTTTTTACGGAATTTATCGCGTGTATTTAACTTTTAAAAAAGTTAAATACACGCGATAAATTCCGTAAAAACTAGTATTATTTCAAGACATTTTTAATATTTTATTAAACGTTAGAGTTTATCGCATCGCTTTCTTTGCAGATGTTAGGCAAATGAACTTGTGTATCGAAGTTCAAAAATCCCATCGCGCTTTTCAACGCATTTTATATCGGTTTTGTACAGAAGAAACTATACGAACATATGAATTTAATCGCGTCACATTCGGACTACGCTCTTCCCCTTTCCTCGCACTTCGCACTTTACGCCAGTTAGCCGCTGACGAAAGGGAGTCCTATCCCTTTGCTGCTTCTGTAGTAGAAAGGGATATTTATATGGATAACCTCGTTTCCTCCGCGCCTTGCGTCAACAACGCAGTCAACACCGCTACTCAACTTATCCAAATGTTTCGCCGAGGTGGATTCGATTTGGTTAAGTGGACAAGTAACTGCAAGGAGCTTTTACAACATATACCCGCGGCACATCGTCAACAAGACTCGGTATCATTTGATGATAATGACATTTTAAAAATTTTAGGCCTTCGTTGGTATCCCGCTACCGATAAGTTTTCCTTTCTTGTTTCGCCGCCACCGGTCACTTGTACCAAACGCGCTATCCTCTCCGCAACCGCTCGCTTGTACGATGTTTTAATACTTTACGCCAAATTATTAATTAAAGCCTTGTGGGTTCTTAAACTTAACTGGGATGAGACTCCACCCACTAATATTGTCAATACATGTCAGCGATATATTTCAGAATTACCTTTAATCTCACATTTACAGATTCCACGTCATATCGGCGTAAATGAAAAATCTCATGTGTCGCTACTAGCCTTCGCTGACGCTAGTGAAAAGGCTTACGGGTGTGTCATCTAGTCGCATGTTGTTAACGAAAATAATCCTCCAATTATAACGCTCCTATGTTCTAAACCTCGGGTGTCCCCATTAAAGGTTATAACTTTAGCCAGGCTTGAGTTGTGTGCCTTGGTTTTGCTCGCTAAGTTAGTACGCACCGTTTACGATTCGTTGTCATTGAGGCATCCGATCGACAACATTTATGCGTTTTCAGATTCGGAAGTCGCGCTCTGTTGGGCGTGTTCTTCACCGCATAAGTTCAACACCTTTGTTGCTAACCGTATTTCACAAATACAGTCCTATTTATTACCGGATAACTTTTACCACATCGCCGGCTCGGAAAATCCTGCAGATCATATTTCACGTGGACTGTCACAAATTTCAAATTGTGACCTTTGGTTACATGGACCTTCGTGGGTTTCCTTGCCCTGGAATGGCCTGTACAAAGGTTCGCATCAACTCATATTAGTTTACCAGAAGAAAAGACTGTGTCGCTTGGAGTCAGTGACATGGAAGAACACCCATTTACATCGTTAAGCTTAAAATTTTCTAATTGGAATAAGTATTTACGATCCGTTGTTTACGTTTTAAGGTTTTTAAACAAATTACCGCGCATAAATAAAATTATTACAGCATCCGACATAGAGATTTCTGAAATCACAGTTATTAAAATTGTGCAAGGCATCGCTTTAGCCGAAAATATAAAAAATATTAAAAAAGGACAACTATGTTCAACATTACGAAGGTTACCGTCATTTATCACGGACGATGTACTTCGAGTAGGTGGTCGGTTAGATTATTCGTCTTTATCGAATTCCCAAAAGCACCCAATATTGCTACCAAAAAAGGGGCATATTGTTGATCTTATAATTGATTATTATCACTATAAACATTTCCACGCTGGTCCTCAGTATTTACTTGCTGCATTACGGGAGAAATATTGGATATTATCAGCTCGCCGTGTAGTGAGATACCGCATTCATAGGTGTAACATTTGTTTTCGACATAAACCCAAACCTATTTACCCCATGATGTCTGCCTTGCCTGCTTGCCGCCTAGAGCAGTGTAATGCGTTTACACACACAGGTGTGGATTTTTCGGGGCCACTTTATATCACATTGACGCGTAAACGTGGTATACGAAGCCAGAAGGCTTATTTATGTTTATTTATATGCCTCGTTACTAAGGCAGTGCATTTAGAGTTAGCGTCTGATCTAAGTTCGGCAAGTTTTTTAGACGCTTTTAAGAGATTTATCTCTCGTAGAGGTCCGTGTCGATTTATATACAGCGATAACGGTACTAATTTTGTCGCCTCGCGTTCATATTTACATGAATTACATAGATTTTTAAAATCAGAAGAATATTATAAGGCATTCAGTCAGGTGCTCACTGATAATCGCATTGTTTGGAAACTCAACCCTCCAAGCGCTCCACATTTCGGGGGTTTGTGGAAGTCCAATATTAAGGTTGTAAAAACCCATTTGTTTCGCGTGATAGGTAAGCAAATCCTCACGTATGAAGAAATGCTTACTACTCTTTGTCAGATCGAGTGTATCTTAAATTCTCGCCCGCTTTATGTATTAAGCAGTGATCCATCGGAACCTACCGCACTTACACCCGCACATTTTCTAAATTTAAAACCACTTGAATGCTTACCAGCTGCAGATTTAAGCAAGGAACGCATTAATCTGTTATCACGCTTTTCTTTAATAGATTCTTTAGTTCAGTCCTTTTGGAAACGCTTCAGATTCGAATACTTACATACATTACAGAGTAGAGTGAAGTGGAATAAGAACGCTACTGCCATTTCTGTAGGGACGATTGTTCTAATAGACGTGGATAATACTCCACCGCTTCAGTGGCCGCTAGGCGTTGTCACCGAATTGTTTCCCGGTAAGGATGGTGTGGTACGCGTTGCGCAAGTTAAACTTAAGAATTCCACTTTAAAACGCCCTCTTATCAAACTGTGTCCTTTACCAACACAGTGATTAATATAGTTAACTTTGCATTATCGTTTATATATTTAGTTTAATTCTTAGGTCATAACGTCGCTTCATTTCGCTACTATATAAATATTTATCTATATATATATCTATATTTTTATACTTTACTTGCTAGTTGAGGATACCTCAAGGCCGGGGGGGTGTTCGCGCCATTTTGCACTAGCGCTTATCGCTTATAAGGGATTCGTTAATTATTATCCAATAAGATTACTACAAAGCCCATTTCCGGTTTCCTACCTACCGCTTTATGCCCAGCATGTGCATTCTTGTTACGGGCTCACACAAGTTGAGAAGACACGCAACCAACCGCATCGCTTATATCTCGCATCATCGCTCCCGCCCTTGTGTAATTTGGACATTGAATTATACAAGCATATAGTAAAAAGTATAGACATTTGCAATAACGCTATATTTCGTGATTATCTGTGAAGTTGATAAGTGTGAAGAAAGCCGGCAGCCATCGAGACACGAGGCAGATCAGCGGAAGTCCAGGTGGGTGCACATGCATTCCTTCACGTCCTTCCTATATCCCGAATTTAGGGGATTTGCAGTATCACGAATAAATTAAATTCCATTCACCGCTCGCACCGCGCTCATATACAGTCCACTATTCTATTTAAATTAATAGCCGCACCGCATAACATTATTTAATACATTTGAACCAGCAGTTTGGTGGTTGAAAGCCAAACGCCAAACCCACCACTGTTTAACACCTGGTTTTGATCGATAGGATTAATTCCTGTTTTTCGGAAACCAGCCAATATATTGTTTTTTGCATTTTTATGTAATTCTTCCATAAGCTTTTTTAAAAGTCTTGGGAAACATCCCTTTGGAACACAAGATTCTTTTTTACCATCTTTTTTCTTCCATTCTAGAAGAATATTACGCCATGCAATTTTCATTGGCCTAAAGTAAGCCACATCTAAGGGCTGGGTTAAATGAGTGCTGTTAGATGGTAAAAACATGAAACATATATTCTCCTCTTGACACATTTGTATTACGTCGATCGATAGATGTGAGGACAGATTATCCCCGATCAAACATTTTTTTCCTTCTTTTCCCCTGAAATACGGCAGAATAATAGTTTTGACCCAGTCTTCAAAAATGTTGGCGTCGAACCACCCACTTTGAGAACGATTGTACCGGGTACCAGGTGGCCCATTTTCAGTCCAGGTGTCGTAAAGGTTTTGGGCCTTGTAAACCACGTAGGGGGGTAGTATGTCTCCAGCAGCTGTTGCAGACATCATGATGGACACAGAAGCTTTCGAGTGGTTCATGACTCTTTCTGGATATTTCGTTCCGCGTTTGGTTAATATTTTTTATTTCGGCCTGGATCATCACATAAGTTTGTCTCATCGTAGTTTATTAAATTTTTAGGATCAATACCAGACAGAGAAGTTTCTAATTCTTTGAAATAATCTTTGATGGACTCGGGAGATACTACTGCCCTGTTTCTTTTAATATTTTGGCAATTTCTCTGTGTGACTTCATTTTCATGACGCTTAAGAAAATTTGCTAAAAAGTCAGGACCGGGTAAATTGTCTTTAAATTTTAAAACAGCTCTTCCTATTTTGTCTAGGTAATTTTTAATAAAATATCTAAAATCCAAAGAATCAAGAGGATACCCCCAATCAGCACAGATATTGATATATTTGATCATGTGTTTCTCCACTTCCAATGAAAAAACTGTCTGCCCCCCTGTTTTTTCATAGTTTTAGTGCAGTGCCTGTATAAGACAGATTTATTAATGCAATATTTATCAGCGACTGTTTTTAATGACACTGTTGGTTTATTTTTTGTTCTTTGGTATTCATGAATAGCTGCGTTGAGCACTTCCTCATCGTATTTTTTGTATCGTCTGCCTCTAGGGTCAGGTTTATATTGTCGCGGCATGTTACCTACGAAAAAATACATTTCAGTAAAAAATCCACATATATAAAAATACCCCTACGATAATCCTTAATCTTGCTCTGTATTCATTATAATCCCTATCCCTTGACATGACATGTGTATGAAAAATTTCATCATGAAATGTTGAGTAGTTAAAGCATGAAGGCGTAACAAACTACAATCAAGCAAATTCACTTTCGAATTTATAATATGAGAAAGAAAATTACTTTTCTTTCCAATTTATAACAAATCAAATTATTATTATTTGTTTTCTTGTTATTCACTCTTTAAATCAAAAACAGATGAAAATAATATTTCAAAAAACTTTAGTACGAGCGACAACCCTAACAGCATTGTATCTAATAACCCCCTTCGTATTTCTATTCAAGCCTTCCCGTATCTAATGACCCCTCATGTCGCATCTATACACCCCGTACGACGTGTCTATTCTCCCCTTAAGCGTGTCTAGTAACCTCTAAACAATTAAAAAAACGGCAAGTTTCACATTTTGCATTATTATAACTAAAATAATTAGGTAGCACTTACTATTACTTGTCAAAAATAATGGGCACTCACTAACGCTTCAAAATATACTAAATTCGTTTAAGTATAGCACGCGTCACGTAAAAAGAACGCTGGAAGAAAGTGGTGGGAGTGTGTTTGCGCATGGGTACAGTCTCGCACGAAAGTTATGTGCCTATTAATTTATTTTTTAACTAGGCTTTCGCTCGCGGGTCGTGGCTTCGTACCTATATATTTGTTATTCTTATTAGTTATAACATTGAAAAATATATTAGATAAAATATCAATAAAATGAATTAAAAACATGTTTGAATTATGTATTATAGAATGTTTAATCGAAATAAAATTAAAGTAATGTTGAAACTTCTTCCATTAAGTCATTATGCGTGACGTGAAAACGAGATGAGGACGCGGTGTTGGTGCTAGAAGTGGCCATTTCATCGTCGTCGCTGTCGTCACTCGAGCTTCCATCCTCATCTGAGTCGGAATCATGATCCCCTATGTGGATAGCAAATGTTTCTGTCATCATGTCCACCACATGATAGCTTTTACACTAATCAGCCTCTATTTTATTTACCTTCGTGCATAGCTTCCCTCATTCTGTTGCTCCCATTAAATTTACATTTTCATGAAACAACTCAGTTATACGTGTCAGGTTCCAAGTTACATTTTTACAGGCAACATAACTTTTTATTTGGGACCAGGCCATTTCAATAGGATTCAGGTCCGGGTGATATGGGGGCAAACGAAGTACAGAATGTCCTGCTTCGTTCAAAATAGCATCGATATTAAATTTCTTAAATTTATCTTTGCATTTTTTTATTAAGTTGTACAACTCCGGCTTTAGCATGGTCTCTTCAAATTCAATACCTTTTTGACGAAGCCAGGTTTGCATGTCTGCTTTCTTTGAATTGGACGTTGGTGCAGCATCGAGTTGTTTATTGTGGTACGATGCATTATCGACTACCACAACTGAATTAGGCGGTAAATTTGGTATCAGTTGAGTACGGAGCCACCGCTCGTAATTTTCAGAATTCATATTGTCATAGTAGTCGCCGCTTTTTGTACCGGCTTTAAACGTCAGTAAAGCATTCGGCACAAAACCTGCATCGCCACCCGCATGCACTATGACTAAGCGGCTACCTTTAGATACAGGTTTTTTAATGCCCTTGGTGGAACCGTCTGTCCAAGCATGGTGAGACGCATGGGAACTATCGACGTATGATTCGTCAGTGTAAATGATAGGTCTTACTTCCTCTATATTTTTTAATCTTTCTCAGATATTCAATTCTTTGAAATCGAATTTGTGACTGCTCAATTAAGATTTTTCTATTGGTTTCCGTTTTTTTCCATTTAAAACCCAAGTTTTTCAATACTCGCCTTAGACTTGCTGCAGATCCTTGGAAACGTATGTCATCCTGTAACTTCCTTTGCAACTTGCCTATGGTAGGCAATTCTTTTTCAGTAACGTGAAAATTATGGATCATTCTTTTTATAACGCTCTGGTCAAAGCTGTCAATGTCTGTTATTGGTTTTGTTTTTTTTCTTTTATTTTTGCCGAGAGTTCGGAAAACAGTAAGAAATTCCGAATCTTTTGAACCCTTTACTATTCGTCTCACTGTCGACTCGGAACATTTTGTTGCCTCCGCGGTCCGTTTCATACATTGTTTTAAATTATTAACTACATTATTATCAGCTTCCCTCTTCATAAAACAGTATACGTCATAAATCATTTTTCTCACTTCTCTATGTAAAACCCTTTCGTAATTTAAAACTTTTGTGCGCGATGGTATTTTTAAAAGGAACGTAACGTGGATACTACGCGGGAAGCAAAGCTCAACTGATGAACCAATAGCGCATCGGTAAACATGGGGCGCGTGGCTCACCCGCCCCGCGCCCCTACCTCATACCACCAAGTAGACCGATAAATCGCCTATGCGCAGCTTGACCGCCAGCGTTCTTTTTACGTGACGCGTACTATAACTGTACTTTAACTAATTAAAAAACACCAAGTTTTGCGAGCCTAACTTTGCAGCGAATTACACAGTCACCTTTATGACGTTATTTTTTTTTGTGTCTTATCATCCATATACAATCCATAGACAATCGAGTGTTGCCATTTTGTTAAAAATATAACGGAGTAGAAAAAAAACGAACGCATGTGTTCTTTAAGCTAATGTCACTCAGATAATTTGGGTTGTAAAACTTTTTTGCTTTTGTGTCTAATCACCCCGTGAATTCTATAACCCCGTTTTACGGTATTGAATATTTTAGCTATTTCGTAATCAGGTTTATTGCGTCTGAGCTTAATAAGTAATATAAGGAATTGATCTTCAATTGAGACGCCAATAACTTGACTCCAGCGGTATGTAAGACTATTGGCCATTGGCAAGAGGGTGTTGAGCACTAGTTGAAATTTTGAGTAAGATTCTAATCCTGTGTAAAACATGAGTGACTCATTGTCAGTTAATAATAAATCTGTAGAAAATATTTTTAACATAACACTTGTCTGGGTTCCGACGGACTTGTAATTGTGGACAGGAGTTAATTCCTCAAGGTTTTCTGCCTCTGGGCACTGGTGACTAGCAATATCCAGAGTCTGGATACACTGTTCACTTGCGATATCCAGAGCTTGTGTGTACAAAGTTCTTCAGCAAAATTTAAGTCTTCAGGTCTGAATATGGACGCAAAAGTGTGCGCCGGCTCAAAAAGCGCCTTTTTAATATTACGTGCTAATAATCGTTCCTCTCGAGCTTGACCTTCCTGCGAAATAGCTTTCGTAGTCCATGCAAACACTGATGGGACGGCAGATTTTTTCAAGTAACGATGCTGATGTTCATTACCTGAAAATAATCAAAATTGTTAAGGAAAATGTACTTATGTGTGGTGCAAGGTATTTTAAAACAATATCAAAGGATATATCTGTATAAATACTGTTTTGATAATCAGTCTCTAAAAAATGATTACGACATGACCTCGAATTTTTTTCAGGCTTAAAATTTATTCTTCTTACAGCTTTAAGCCACATTTTTCTTACTTCTTCGTTTTTAGGGAATTGATGTGCACCAATTCCTTTGCAATAAGGTACTTCCCATATCTTTGGCATTGTGAAAATAGTAAATTATTCGAAATATCTCATACAATTTTAACTTTTTTTGGTTAAAGCTATGCTAGCGCCACTTTGACAGTTGCCAACCCCATTTATAAATTTAACCATAAATCGAACACTTCTACAGGGCTTTTCACTGTAAATCTTTAAGGGGCGTATTATATAATTCCATTTTAAAGAAATCTTTATATATATTATTATTGTACTCAACTAAATTCACAAAATTTTAACGACACGCGGCGATGATACAAACAAAATGCTCAAGTGATGAAGTGACAATGAAACAACATGGCGGCTTTTCGAAATTTTATGGCCAGTACTTGAAGCCAATGTTGCCATACTAAACAGTCAAGAAACTTCTTTCATAGATTTGTAGGTTTCGAAACGATTGTGTCGCACAACAGGAGTGTTACAACGGAATGAATTTTGGGATGTATGTAATATTACTCGTAAAAATTATTTATAAAAACGATTACTAGTGTTTACGAGCCTTTATTAATAATAACATAAAAATGCTAGCTTACGTTAAATAAACTACTCTCGAAAAACTCTAAACTAATACTCGAGCAAGAACATGCGAATTTTTTGTCACATAAGAGTCGGACACTACAGTATGTCTGTATGCGTCAAAAATTTGGCCCTGACCCATTAATGGCTTAAATTAATACATAAAACAATTTTAGTTTTAATGGTTTTGGCACTATGCCTTACTTCCGAAAAATAATATCATACAATAGATTTTTTAATTGAAGTCGC